GGGGGGGGGGGGGGGGGGGGGGGGGGGGGGGGGGGGGGGGGGGGGGGGGGGGGGGGGGGGGGGGGGGGGGGGGGGGGGGGGGGGGGGGGGGGGAGGGGGGGCTTATACACGAGCATGGCACCGGGGCAAGAGAAGCCGAAGGAAGAAGTGCCTCTACAAAAACGTCATTCGGCGCTTGTGCACGCACAGCCCGTCGAATCTCCCGACTACAAGCCTGCCATACACTCATTCATCCATCTTGGTTTGACCATGCAGGCAATTCCAGGCGTCAAAAGCTTTGTTAATTCGTTCATACATTTTTCCTTGTTCCACCGTTTCGGCTGGTCACCTTCCGTGTATCCTCGACATGTACTGGCACCGGTCAAGAGTAGATTCCTGCTTGCTGGACTGGATGTCGGTTATTTTCGTGCTGCGAAGAGAGGCAGCGAGAAAGGGCAGACAAGAGGGAAAAAGAGAGGACTCGATACGTGAAGACTTTATGCGCAAACAACGCCAATGCCATGGCTTTTTTTTTTTTTTTTGGTTCCGAAACCGCGACACATGTGTTGCTACACCTCGCCCAACAACAAAAAGAAAACATCCAAAGGACCTCCACGTTCAAAGAGTCGTTGAACCTCGAGAAAAATCAATCGCAACAGCACTTTCATCCACTTTTTCTAACAATCCTTTCATTCACAGATACGTACAGACCAAGAACATGTGCAACGACAACAACCGTCTTCTCGAGCCCTTCCCTCCACATAAACTTGATCTATGTCTCTGTTTCTCTCTCGCGGCAATCATGACAACAGCACAGCAGTATGTACAATTTGCAATTTCAGTACTCTCAGACTCCATGTCGTTCGATTTTTGCTCTTACACTTTTTCGAGTTTCTCCGTGAGGACCTCCAGCTGGAACAAGGAGCTCTTCTTCTGTCCCCCGGTCCTTCCACCGTCTCCGCCGCCGGTGATGCCTCGCTTCAGACCCCCGGTCACTCCGTTGTCCTTCTGCAACTGCTTTCCAACAAAACAAATAGAAGACAAACCATATGATGCCGAGTGTACGTGTCATACTTAGGTTTTCCCAGACCAATGTGCTTACAGAACACAAGCCACGAGCACGTTGTAGGTATGCGCGCGAGAGCGGGAGATTGATAGAGAACAAGCTTGTCGATGCGATTTAGCATGTGGACACGAGCATGTAAGGGCTTATTTGAAACGTCCGATATTCGCGTTAGCCATGTTTTGGTATCTTCCTACACCTGAAGCTCTCCAGCACATACTGCTGAATCACGGAAATCTGTACCATATTTCGCGACAACGAAAACGCCAGAAAGATTGAAGTTGCTTCTTCTTCGACCACCACGCCTGCATCAACCGGAATGCTTTCGGCGTGCCAAGGAGGGCCAAACAATACAAAATTCCTTGGTGCATTCCAATCACATGTGCCGTGACATGAAAACCGTTTCCCGCACATCCTCGTCCTCGGCGGTCAGGCACATGTGTGTACGGTGAAAGCGATTCCTGCAGAGTGCACATGTTCCTGTCCGCCCCCTTGTATCTACAGCAGTACCGGCATCCTACTTGTCCCGTTAACGTGCCCTATGAATGTGACGTGTGTGCCGTGTACTGCTGTACCTTCTCCTGCTCTTTTTGTTTGGCGTACATGGCGTACTTGGTCTCGCTCTCCCTGCCCAAGTTCTCCATCCGCCCGTACACAACCCTCTCCAGGTTGTACCTTTGGCAACAAAAAAATTACACAAAGACGCAGTACACAAAAGACTGACGTAAAGCAGACCACAAGAACGCAATCAAAATGCTGTTCAACGGCTGTTTACGACGTACACAAGTACCGAGGGCAAACAGCAGTAGATCAAACGATTTGGCCGGAGGACGCGTATCGCGATGGCCAGGCCACCCCGTCTTTCACCGAAAAGGTGGGGGTGCTGGTGTGCGCGGCACATCATCCATCATCCATCATCCATCATACATCAAATAACATACATGGCACATCGTACATGGGACTCACACCTGTACCTACCCCGAGCTTCACACAAACGCGCGAGCAACCTTCGACACCCGGAAGCCCTGGACCAGACACGTTAAAGAGCGACACTATTGGTGCTTCCTCTGGATAAACTTATCTCCATGCCCTACCCAGTTGGTGCCCCCCCCCCCCCCCCCCCCCCCCCCCCCCCCCCCCCCCCCCCCCCCCCNCCGAATCTACAGCCTAATACATCAATGACCCCCCCGCGTGCGCTGCCCCTCTCCCCCTTGATATCGACATGACCCCTTTGACCTATGCTTTTATAGTATCCCTGACCCCTGGTCGTACCTCATGTGGGACTTCATTTGGTTGTAGCCTCCTCTTCTCATGAGCACCCTCGAACCGGCCGTCTTCCCTGTGAAGCAAAGCAAAACAAGAGCGATCGGGCCGGCGGCCGCGGCGGCGCGCTGTTGCAAACTCCACTCTTGAGGGATTGACATGCAAACGTATTCTCATGTGCATCGACGGAGGACGGATTCACGACTGCTGACAAACACGTTTTCGTTTTTTCTTTTGTTTAAAGAGCATAGCGACAAAGCCACGGCGGTGACAAACGCTGTAGCATCCTCCCGGTGATAACTGGGAAAATGGATGATGCAGTACACTGCACACGACGATCGACACTATTTATCAGAAACACTGCTACTAATTGAAGAGGTCTTCGAACAGTTGGGCGGGTTGCTGCTGCGTGTTTGCAAATCAAATCACGAAACCGGCCTCGAAAAAAAAAACGCCAACAAAACGCACCGAACGAGTGGTCTTCGCCTCCATCAAGTCCTTCCTCCGCGTAATACTTGTGGTAGATGTTGCGCTCGCTCCTCCGCTTCAAGGAGCACACGTCGCCGCCCTGGTCGAGCAGCTGCAGCTTCAGCCCCGCGTGGGTCCAGCTGCGCCTGGCGTTTCAGGAGACGCGTGCGCCACCCCACCCGTACGCATAAGCACGCACGAAAACAAAACAATGGGAGAACTTTCGCTTTTTTCGTTGCGACAGGTTTCGAGGGGGCAGGTAGAGCAATTTTCTCGCAATTTTTTTTGTCATACTTCATCCCCCCGATCTCTACGTTTTGGGACGACGCCACGAAACCTGCGCCTTGCGCTCGAGCCGACTCGAACCATGATCTCTGTCCCTCCCAATCTCATGTCTCCCTCATTCATTCTCCGTGCCTTATCTTTTCCTTCCTGCGTACCAGACTGCTGCACCACACCCCGTCATGCTGCATATGCACGAACGCGTACCGTACATCCTACTTATTGGTTAAGACTGCAAGGCGGTTACAGGACGGTTGCAAGAACGCACCTGGAGGTTTCCAGCATGGCTTCCTGCCTGGTCACCGCCGCCAGCGCCGAGACCTTCCCGAACACCCGGCTTCGTCGGAGCTTGGGCCGCCGGCTGGTGAGCTGCCCGAACGACTCGTCTCCGGCTCGCAGGCCGGGGATCGCCGCCTGAGACGGGCAGACAAATCGACCGGCCAACACCGAGGAGGGGGGGGGGGGGGGGGGGGGGG